TTTCAGGTACGTCTTGCTACTTCTACTTACATGTAGGTCACACTACACATACATGTACAAGCATATATATACACACCCCTCTGGGTTTTCTGCTATTTTATTTCTAGTTCTTGTTCTTGTTTATTTCCTCTTATCTCCATGGGGAAGTGGAACAGAATTCTTCCTCCGTAAGCCATGCGTGTTGTAAGAGGCGACTAAAATGTCGGGAGCAAGGGGCTAGTAACCCCTTCTCCCGTATAAATTACTAAATTTGAAAAGAGAAACTTTTGTTTTTCTTTGTGGGTCACCCTGCCTCAGTGGGATATGGCCGGTTTGTTGAAAGAAAGAAGAAGAGCTCTTTACATTGTATTAAATAAGTAATTTTATATTTAAAAATATTTAAGACGTGTTCCCATTTGTTATGAAGGATTAGTAGTTACTGTTATCTCTTAGCATGAAATGACCTATTGTAGACAAGTACAGTAAACCCTAAAGTGAATGAACTAATAAATGGGAGTAGGTTGGCCAGTTATGGTGGGTAGAGATAAAATTGTTTTTCATGATTGTAACAATATACAGACAATTCTGTAACAAAAAAATGTTGCCTACTGTCCCATTTTTCCGAAGTCCATTAAATCGAGGGTTTAATACACAAAAACACAATTTGCAAAATAAACTTTCATTGGGATACAATTCTGATCTATGTATAAAGATCTTACCAGAGTGAAATGTGCCAATAAAAGCATGTTTTATAACTTGTGTCTGTCTTTATACTGTCTTCATATAAAGAGCTTAGTTTTGACTTTTGTGGATTCACCCGAGCTCTAGAAAATTTTAAGGCACATAATACTCCCTTCAGGAAAAGAAGGGGGGTGGGGGGAAGAAGGGTGCTTTTTCTCATATAAAGCCTGTTTGTCTTCCCTTAACAATGCACTGTGTGACTCTTATGTGTATAGTGCTTTCCTAGAAATAACTAATGTGGTAAGAAAAAGTCACTGCAAAGCAGTTACAATATTCTTGGCTTCAGTGCTTAACTGATTATTATAATAATAATATAATACACAATATTATGCTTAGTATTTTTTAGTCAATTACCTAAAAAGCTCACCTTTGAGATATAAGATTATACGTATAAAAAAGTCCATTATAAATGTCTTTTTTTAATTACCACCTTTGTCAGTAAGAACTAATATTATGTAAGTGACTAGAGAGCAAACCATAACAATGCCCCAAAATCATGCACATTCTCTTAAAATAAGTGATATGTATGACGATATACACTTGTTAAAATTAGTTTCTCATGGGTGTGAGCAACAGGTTAAACATGCCTACTGGCTCTAGTATGAGCTGTGACATATGATAAAGAATGGTGAGAAAATAGTTATTTTCTACTGCACATATATAGCTTATGGAATGTAGAATCTTGTACTCTTAATCAATTTTTTTACAGCTTATGTTAGGCCAACATTATAAAATGCACTTGTTATATGGTTTCTGTGCCTAAAAAATTATGTACCATCAACCATTCATTAACAACAGAGAGAGCCTTAGCTCACTAATTAGTATATGTTTTAATAAAAACTACAGAAAATAGGTGCCAAGAGAATACAAGTGAAGCTAACACACTGCACACATCATCCATAGCCAATATTAATCGTGCCGACAACCCCCTTCATGGGTGTGAAGATGCCAGAAAACACTGCTGTGATTTTCTTCACTTATGTTGTCAAGCACAGATCATATCTCTAAATACTGCTCTAACCTCATTAGGTATCCCTGAAGGGAGACCTAAGTAGTTGCCTGATTTTTTTTATTTCTCCAACTTTTTATTTTTCACAGAACCCTTCATCCAATAGGATTTAAATTGTGTATGGTAATGGGGACCAAAGTCTTGGCACAACTGGCATGTACAGGTGCCCTCTGACCAAACTTATTGAACCCATTCCCAGCATCCTGGAATGGCTCAGATAACTTCAAAAACCTTGTGGTGTAGATTCAAATGTGCCTCCTAATTTGACTATGGCAGAGTGAAATTCAAGTATGTATAGATCTGACCATTTTGTGTGCAAAAGTGAGTGACATTTGGATTTCCATTTAATCATCATGAATGGCTTCAGTATTTAACCCATTCACTGTTGGAAGCTCCAAAATTAAGAGCACAGTGTTGGCATTTAAAAAAAAAAATTATTAAACTGTAGAGAATCTTTTTTCTGAAGGCAATGACAACAAAAAATATGAAATTTGGCAGAAAACTTAAAGTTACACAGGTGCAAAGTTAGCAGTCTGGGTGCAATTTATGCATTGGCAATTTTGCTTACTTTGAGTCCTATTTTATGCCAATTCCATTGTTCAATGCAATAAAATTTAAGCTATTTTGCTAGCATGCCTTCTGCTCTCTTGATTGGACACAAGAACCACCAACTGAACTATAAGAACTACCTTTATAGTGTGCACAGAAGTCGATAATTTAGCCAATTTTACACAAAAAAATTCAGTTGTAAAGCAGTCCAAAATAAATACTGTAGACATTCCAGGCACTAAAGCAACATTTTCTCTGTTCATTAATCACATCCTCAGACCTCTCCTATATTACCCCTGCCCTCCATTTTGAATTCATCATCATAAAAATATAAAAGATTTACCTATTTCTCAGATAAAAAATATATATAAACAAACAATTTGCCACGATTTACAGAATTGTAATAATTGAAGCAGACCTAGTAAAAACTCATAAAACAGATGGGGGAGGTGTAGGGTGCATTATCCATCCTCAGGAAAATCATCACAAATCAAATATTTGAGCCCAATTTCAAGCTACCTCTGGTCCTGAAACCAACCAAAATCATCTCTATTTCAGTAGATTATCTTCCATTCCATGAAATGATATCAAGAAACTGCCAATAAAGTCATAAAAACCATCCAAGAAAACACCTCAAAGTTGCTAATTAAAACCAAACACAAGATCAGAGTTTTGCTTTTCTCACACAGACCTATTCTCTCATGTCTAAGGCAAACTTTACTGCTTACAGTTTATCTGGGGAACCTGAGTTCAAAACATAGATCTACGTACATAGGTGATCCTGGTGTGAATAACATAAATCTATAGACGAGACAGTGAAAGAGTTAACCAATAAAGGACCCCAAAGAAAATAAGCCAATCTGTCTCACTTTTTTGGGTTATCCTAGGTTCTCTACACACATGTTGCTATGTATGATAATCTATGTAACTGTATTTGTGTATACCTGAATAAATTTACTTCAGTGTCGAGACCCTTGCTCTCAAACTTGCTCTTAGGGTTGAAGAATTTAAAAAAAAACTTATCACGAAATGATAAGAGAATCTTTTTCTGAAGGTAATGAAACCAAAAGTACGAAATTTAACCCTTTCAGGGTCCATGCCGTAGATCTACGGCTTTACGTTGAGGGTCCAAACTGTAGATCTACACCATGAGCTCAGCTCATTCTGATAAGCTGTGAGAAGTAAATTTGGGCCTAGATATGAAAGAATACATCTATGTGGTATGTGTGCACCACATAAAACAAATCTTGCAGCACACAGTGCAAAATGAGAGAAAAAACTTAGACCATAATTTTCTATTAAAACAGCGACTTTGCAGTGTTTTTTTGTATGTTTTTTACGGTTGTATTTGCTATTTCTTGGTCTCATTTGATAGAATGGAAGATATGTACTACAGAAATAGAGATGATTTTTATTGGCTTTAGTATTGGAAATGGCTTGAAATTGAGCTCAAAGTAGTGAAAATGTAAAACTTTTGTCGATGTTCAAGAGTAAACAAACGACCTCACACGTCTAATACACATCTGCTGGTGGGTCTAATATACATTCACAAATGTGGTGATATTATTTATACAATTATTACAATATTGCATAACAGTAAATCTTCTATTTTTTGGTTTGAATAAAAATTCATTATGTGAATAAAAAATCAAAATGGAATTCATTTGTAAAGCCTCAAAACATAACTAATGAACAGAGGAAATGTTAGTTTAGTGCCAGGAATGCCTGCATTGTTTATTCTGGACCCTATTTTGAAATTGGAATATTTTGAACTTTGCACTAAATTGGCCAAATTACCAATTTCGGATCACATTATTTTGTAGTTGAAACAGTTGATTTGGCGATTTCTTGTGCTCAAATGATAGAATAGAAGTAATACTACTGAAATAACTAAGAACTTGGTCAACTGGAATAATGTAATTGGCCTAAAATGGGAGTCAAATTTGGCAAAATCGCCAATGTGTAAATATCGCTGACACACCACAATTTGCGAGAGCATAATTTCGTCAGTTTTCCACCAAATTTCGTACTTTTTATTATATTACCTTCAGAAAAAGATTATCTACCATTTCATAAGAAAAAATAACAAAATTATTTTTTGAAAATTCTTGGACACCGGTGCACACTTTGAAATTTGGCCTCTGGACCCTGAAAGGGTTAATGGATAACTTATGGAATTATGTTCTTGTAAAGCTAGTGAATGTATTCAGATATTTGGGAGTGGATGTGTCAGCGGATGGGTCTATGAAAGATGAGGTGAATCATAGAATTGATGAGGGGAAAAGGGTGAGTGGTGCACTTAGGAGTCTGTGGAGACAAAGAACTTTGTCCTTGGAGGCAAAGAGGGGAATGTATGAGAGTATAGTTTTACCAACGTTCTTATGTGGGTGTGAAGCATGGGTGATGAATGTTGCAGCGAGGAGAAGGCTGGAGGCAGTGGAGATGTCATGTCTGAGGGCAATGTGTGGTGTGAATATAATGCAGAGAATTCGTAGTTTGGAAGTTAAGAGGAGGTGTGGGATTACCAAAACTGTCGTCCAGAGGGCTGAGGAAGGGTTGTTGAGGTGGTTCGGACATGTAGAGAGAATGGAGCGAAACAGAGTGACTTCAAGAGTGTATCAGTCTGTAGTGGAAGGAAGGCGGGGTAGGGGTCGGCCTAGGAAAGGTTGGAGGGAGGGGGTAAAGGAGGTTTTGTGTGCGAGGGGCTTGGACTTCCAGCAGGCATGCATGAGCGTGTTTGATAGGAGTGCATGGAGACAAATGGTTTTTAATACTTGACGTGCTGTTGGAGTGTGAGCAAAGTAACATTTATGAAGGGATTCAGGGAAACCGGCAGGCCGGACTTGAGTCCTGGAGATGGGAAGTACAGTGCCTGCACCCCTAAGGAGGGGTGTTAATGTTGCAGTTTAAAAACTGTAGTGTAAAGCACCCTTCTGGCAAGACAGTAATGGAGTGAATGATGGTGAAAGTTTTTCTTTTTCGGGCCACCCTGCCTTGGTGGGAATCGGCCAATGTGATAATAAAAATAATAAAAAATAAAGCTAGTGGTCTTGGCGATATTTACACATCAGCAATTTTGCCCACTTTGTGCTCAATTTTTGGCCAATTCCATTGTTCCAGTCCACCAAACTCATAGCTATTTTACTAGCATTTCATCTATTCTATTGAGTGAGTATAAGAAATTACCCATTTACCTATTTCAACTATCAAATAAAGTGATCAGAAACAGGCAAATTTGGCCAGTTTCATACAAAATTCAACAACTGACAATTTGAAAATAGGGTCCAGAATAAACACTGTAGATATTCCTGGCACTAAATAAACATTTCCTCTGTTTCTTAACCCTTAAACTGTCCAAACGTAGATCTACGTTTGCTCGCGTAGCGCTCCGAACGAAAATCTACCTTTTTTTTTTACATTGTTTCTTATGGAGAAAATCAAGGTTGGAGCGCTACGCGCACAAACGTAGATCTGTGTTTGGACAGTTTAAGGGTTAATCACATCTCCAGGCTCCTCTGATATTACACTTGCTTTTCATTTTGAATTTTTATTTACACAAAAAATAGAAGATTTACTGTCATGCAGACTACTGCATTATTGTAATAATTGTATAAACAATATCAGTGCATTCCTAAGTGCGTATTAGACTGGCCAGTTGGATGCGTATTAGAATATCAGCAAAAATCAAACATTTCTGCTACTTTGAGCTCAATTTCAAGCCACTTTCAGTCCTGAAACTAATCAAAATCATCTCTATTTCTGTAATATATCTTCCATTCTATCAAATGAGACCAAAAAAATGAATAAACAACCATAAAACCCATACGAAAATACACAGCAAATTTGCTGTTTCAAACAAAAACACAGTCAGTTTTTTTTTTTCCATAATGCACTGCGTGCTGCAGAATTTTTTTATATGGTGCACACTTGCTGCATAGACCCATTCTCTCGTATCTAGCCCCAAATTTACCGCTCACAGCTTATGTGAGTGAGCTGAGCCCATGGGCAGAATACTTCCCCAAACATCCCCCAATGACTGCCTGGGAAAAAGACAGCTCGCTGAAGGACGACTTGATGAAGGCAGAATTTCCCTAGAAAAGCAAGACCAGGCCTCCACCAGACGACGTTTCAGCACAAGAAACAAGAGATAACCGATTGAATGAGTGATGGCGAGTGTGTTTACTTTTCTAGGTCACCCTACCTGGATATTAGACAGCTTTTTTTTTTTTGTTTGTTTTAATGAATCTACTGTTTCCCACCGAGGCAGGGTGACCCAAACAGAAAGACAAAAGTTTATGAGACAGCTGTTGTGGTAAAAAAAAATACTAATTAGTGGTTCCCAGGATCAGTAGCCCATGCTGGGATCACACCTGCTAAATTGGAAAAGAAATATTACTGGAATATGAACTATTATTAAATACACAGGAAAGTAAAGTATATTCTGAATATAAGTAGAATTTTGTAATACATATCTACCAGCTATCTTACATGTTTACGAGATATAAATAATTAACAAACCTGTTAGTGCAAGTGATTAATAAATAATTTTTCACTTCATTCATTCTAGAATTTTTGAGCTAGTGAGAGACAATGACAGCATGACAGAGAGGGCAGTGGGCACGCATGGTCATATCTTGTTCCAGGGCAGAGTGCTTGCAAGCCGAGCATGTCCAAACAGCAGTTACATCCATTATTGGTCGTCCTGTTACGATGCACGTTGCAAATCGTGTGTTACAACTAGGGCAAATACTAACCCTGAAAGAAGAACAGCAATACAAAGTTATTCTTTTCCTTGAACCAGAAAAATACAAATTTGAAATACTGTATCACCACTTATCTCAAAATCTGGTCTCTTCAAGGAAGGTTGGACATGTTCTCCTCTTCCTTGGATCGAACCTGAATACCTCTCATTCCCCAGGCACTGTATAACCCCTAAGGGTTTAGCACTCCCCTCCTAAATAAAGTGTCCCATAGCTCGATCACTAGCACACTCAGCTCACACACTGAGGTCCTGAGTTCGAATCTCCGGTACGGCTGGAAAACATTAGGGATGTGTTTCCATAAGACATCTGCTGTCGATGTTCACCCATCAATATAAAATGGGTACCTGGGTGTAAGTCAAGTGGTGTGGGTTGCATCCTGGGGCAAAAGTGACCTAATTTGCCCGAAATGCTCTGCATAATAAGGGGCTTTCTATATAGTAGTAGTATGTCATTGATGTCAGCTAGGCCTGTATACCTTGTACATGTACTTGTAGAAATAAAGATTTTATTATTATTATTATTTTTTTTTTTTCAACGAGTCGGCAGTCTCCCACCGAGGCAGGGTGACCCAAAAAGAAAGAAAATCTCCAAAAATTAAAATACTTTCATCATCATTCAACACTTTCACCTCACTCATACATAATCACTGTCTTTGCAGAGATGCCCAGATACAACAATTTAGAAGCATATACATTTAACATATCCCTCCAAACTGCCAATATCCCAAACCCCTCCTTTAAAGTGCAGGCATTGTACTTCCCATTTCCAGTACTCAAATCCGGCTACAGTGGTCCCTCAATTATCGTCCTTAATCCGTTCTGGAAGTGGGACTATTATCGAAACAGACGATTTTCGAATCAATTTTCCCCATAAGAAATAATGTAATTCCAATTAATTCGTTCCAGACACCCAGAAGTATCAACAACAATTTTTTTTTTTACCTAAAAGACAGATTTACATGCACAAAAGAATGAACATTCAACATGACAGTTACCTTTATTGAAGGCTGTTGTTGATGAATGGAAGACAGGGAGGAAGAGAGAGGGAAGAGAGGTTACTGTTTGGAAGGGGAATCCCTCTCCATAAGGACTCTAGGTCACTTCCCTAGCATATAGATTTACATGCAGAAAAAAATGCCAAATAAATGTAAAGCACTAATAAAATGTATAAATGAACAGTGGTAATAGGGGTAGTTGATGAGTGGAACGGTCTGCCTAGTAGAGTGATCGAAGCTAAAACATTGGGTAGTTTCAAATTTAGGTTGGATAAATACATGAGTGAGAGAGGTTGGATTTGAGTCGGACTTGCACCTGAGCTTATTGGAAATAAATGGTATAAAATACCGACACAATGGAAATATACACACATATGCAGTATAATGTGATCCTTTATTGACAACGTTTCGCCCACACAGTGGGCTTTTTCAAGTCACAAACAGATAGATCTGTTTGTGACTTGAAAAAGTCCACTGTGTGGGCGAAACGTTGTCAATAAAGGATCACATTATACTGCATATGTGTTTATATTTCCACCTGAGCTTATTGCTTGGGTAGCATTTGTTCTGTTAGTGGATTGGATTTGTGAAGGACCGGCCTAGTTGCAGTGTTCCTACTTTCTTAAGTTCTTATTTAACATCACACTTACCAGAAGGGTGATCGAGGCTAGGACCTTGGGTAGCTTTAAGAAGAGATTGGACAAATATATGAGTTGGAGGAGCTGAGTTTGCTTTGTGTCATTGGGTACGGGAGTAAATTCTTGGGTAGCTTTGGGTAGAGGTCATTTTGATAAAGACCTGCCTTGTATGGGCCAATAGACCTGCAGTGTTCTTCCATTGTTATGTTCTTAATGGGAAGGATTGTAAAGGACCTGCCTAGTATGGGCCAGCAGGCCTACTGCAGTGTTCCTCTTTTCTTATGTTCTTATTGGAGACTTGTTTGTGTGAGGGAGGGATGGCAAGCTTATTGTTGGAGAATATGACACTAATATCAACTCTATGGCTTATTTATCTATCACAATTCAACTAATATGACATAATAAACAATATTATTAACATAGAAACATGGAATATACTCTAGAATGAATAAAACAAGTCATTACGTATGTCACGAGAGGTGTTGTGTTGTGTTGTTGTTGGGTATATAAGGGCCACTGAGTGTAAGCCATCCATAATGGTGGTGAAGCAGCAGCTGAGGCGGTGGTGTTTTCTGTAGCCCTATATAACTCCAACAACATTGGAGAAGTTGGTAGAATCGCTGAATCACTAAAGAAGGAACCCTCTACCACCATCACTACAACCTTCTACCACTATTACAACTGTTACCACCATCACTACTACCTTCTACCACCATCACTACCACCATCAACCACTATCACACCTGCTTCCACTCTACCACCACCACCACCTTTTATTTTTCTACAAACTTTTTCATAAATTATGTGTTTCTCACATTCTTTACCAAAGGGCTGGCACTAGAAGCTTTCTTTGGAGCCATGGTAGCTTATTTAGCACTTGCAAGCACTAAAATCAATGGAATATTATGAAATATTTCATAGGAGCATATGAGGGGACTGTCGCTTACTGGTAAACAATGGCACACTGGCTGGGAAAGCAGGCCCAGGCGGCTCAGAGCGTGAGTACCCGTCCCGGACGAAGGACGATTAGCGAGTTAACGGACCATTTGCGAACCAATGTTTAGAAGAAATAACGGGACTATTCCCGAAATGGACGACTTTCAAGCCGGACGATTATTGAGGGACCACTGTATATGAAAATAACCGGTTTCCCTGAATCCCTTCACTAAATATTACCCTGCTCACACTCCAACAGCTCATCAGGTCCCAAAAACCATTCGTCTTCATTCACTCCTATCTAACATGCTCACGTGCACATGCTGGAAGCCCAAGCCCCTTGCCCACAAAACCTCCTTTACCCCCTCCCTCCAACCTTTTTGAGGACGACCCCTACCCCACCTTCCTTCCCCTACAGATTTATACGCTCTCCATGTCATTCTACCTTGATCCATACTCTCTAAATGACCAAACCACCTCAACAACCCCTCTTCAGCCCTGACTAATACTTTTATTAACTCCACACCTTCTCCTAATATCCACACTCCGAATTCTCTGCATAATATTTACACCACACATTGCCCTTAGACAGGACATCTCCACTGCCTCCAACCACCTCCTCACTGCAGCATTTATGACCCAAGCTTCACACCCATATAAGAGTGTTGGTACCACTATACTTTCATACATTCTCTTCTTTGCCTGCATAGATAACGTTTTTTGTCTCCTCATATACCTCAACACACCACTCACCCTTTTTCCTTCATCAATTCTATGGTTAACCTCATCCTTCGTAAACCCATCTACTGACATGTCAACTCCCAAATATCTGAAAACATTCACTCCTTCCATACGCCTTCTCTCCAATGTGATATCCAATTTTTCTTTATCTAAATCATTTGATACCCTCATCACCTTACTCTTATCTATGTTCACTTTCAACTTTCTATCTTGATACTGGTGAAAAACTCTTGATCCAAAGAATTAGAATCACTCTCCATCCCTTGGAATGAATCTGATTGCCTCTCATTCTCCCTGGTGCTATACGACCAATACAGATTTAACAATTTTCTCATTAATGTAATATTGATGAAAATGTGGTAAAAATAAAGCACATTATTATTTCATTCGGAAAAGAAAGCTAAACTCAAAATGCGTCTGCATAATTAGTGGCTTTCTTCAAAGCCTTATATTGTATCAAATTATATCAGCAGTATACTATATCAAACTCAACATATACAGTATGTACAGTAAACCTTGAATATCATGACCTATTTAATAGGAAGATTTTCTGAGAGCCCAATAAATCAGAATGTTAAATAATAGAAAATAAAAGCATTTAAATACCCTACTAGACATCTAATATAGTACTGTACACAGTTATATTGCAATATTATTATTATTACGAAAAACTTAATCACTAAATTCACAAGGGTTACAATAAACATTGAAAATAAAATACATAAAAGTACAGTGGACCCCCGCATAACGATTACCTCCGAATGTGACAAATTATGTAAGTGTATTTATGTAAGTGCGTTTGTACGTGTATGTTTGGGGGTCTGAAATGGACTAATCTACTTGACAATATTCCTTATGGGAACAAATTCGGTCAGTACTGGCACCTGAACATACTTCTGGAGTGAAAAAATATCGTTAACCGGGGGTCCACTGTATTTGTATAGCTCTTGAGAAATAAATAATTTTAATAAAAATTTTAATTTTAATAAAGTACAAGGAGGTTTTCTGGGTTTTCTATTTTCTCACTAGTTCTTGTTCTTGTTTATTTCCTCTTATCTCCTCCGTAAGTCATGTGTGTCGTAAGAGGCGACTATAATGCCGGGAGCAAGGGGCTAGTAACCCCTTCTCCTGTATACATTACTAAATTTAAAAAGAGGAACCTTCGTTTTTCTTTTAAGGTCACTCTGCCTCGGTGGGATACGGCCGGTTTGTTGAAAAAAAAATAATAATAATAAACATACTGAAAGACAAGATGAAAGGAAGGGAGGAAATTCTTAGGTATGCCTTAACAGCAACCTAAAATTCCTTGCTAACATCTAGCACATAGAAAAAATCTAAAACATTGTTTCAAAAACACATTGCAATGTACCTCAAACAATATTACTCATTTTATTACTCCCTAATCTATCTTTATCTCACATAGGGTATATGCACATGGGTATCAACAACAAATTGCTTAAATTTCATTGTAACTCAACAAAATCTCTTATTAGAATATTAATCAGGTTCCAGACAACACACAATCACTTCAAAGGTTTAAATTTGACAAAAAAATCTACACTTACTAATGGACACATTATCATGTACAGGACACTCAGTGTAAATATTAACCCAGTCTTAAAACTTTACTTGAAGAGTTGCAACAGAATACACAAGCACTGAGAAACAAATACTGAGTCTCTTTAATAACTTGTATGTTTGACTTAACCTGAGTTGAAAGTCCAGACAAATAAAAAGATGAAAAATATGGAACTATCAGAAGGTTCTAAAAGTTCATCATCTGCCAAATGTTTCGAAAATGTTTAAAAAAAAAAAAACTGAATCTGATGAGTCGATGAATATCAAAATTATGTCTATCAGCTTATCAATTTCGCAATAGTACTATGCTAGACTTGGGAATCGACGTCCTGTATCCATATTCAATGAGCCTTATATCACCTGGTCACGGACCGGGCCGCGGGGGCGTTGACCCCCGAAACTCTCTCCAGGTAAACTCCAGGTAAACCACTACATTTCTACTCCCAATATTTATAATTAAAATTGTCAATACAGTTTTTTATTAGTACAGTAACTATTGATATTAACACTGCTGTTTTAACAGATAATTTTGCTACTTAAAATAATCATTACATTCAATAATCATATCTTCAGATAACTTAATTATATTAAACTTAGCATTCAAATATTCTAATTTCAACTATACAATGTCAAGTAGTTTTCCCTCTAATTTTAGCCAGACCAAAATGCACTGCTTAATCATAAGTTTTCCAAATTGTACGAAGTGAATGTCACCTGGCGGCCTGGTGGTTAACGCTCTCGCTTCACAAGGCGAGGGCCTGGGTTCGAATCCCAGCCAGAGTAGAAACATTGGACGTGTTTCTTTCCACCTGTTGTCTATGTTCCCCATCAGTAAAATGGGTACCTGGGTGTTAGTCGACTGGTGTGGGTCGCATCCTGGGACACTGACCTAAGGAGGCCTGGTCACAGACCGGGCCGCGGGGGCGTTGACCCCCAGAACTCTCTCCAGATAAACTCCAGATAATATTATAACAATTATATACATTTTGAAAACAACTTTGCTTGATTTCTATTTTTCATTATCATCACCATTGAGGTATTCTGTATATTTCCCATCAAGTTCCTTTCTTATCATAACACTACTATTATAGTAGTCATACTCCTAGGATGTTTAATGCCAGTGAAAGGCTCTTGATCTAAGGACTTGGAGTTGCCCTTTCTTGGAACAAACTTGAATGGTTCCCATTTCCCACAGGTACTATGGATTTAGCACTCTCCACATGATTGTAATAATAATTTAAATATAAATGATGTCTATCAATATTGTTTGTAAGCATTATTAACCCTCATGTAAGTTAACAATAAAAGCTGATTTTTTTTTTTCATCAAACCAGCCATATCCCACTAAGGCAGGAGAAGAGGTTACTAGCCCCTTCCTCCTGGCATTTTAGTTGCCTCTTATGACACGCATGGCTTACGGAGGAAAAATTCTGTTCCACTTTCCCATGGAGAAAAAGCTGATTACCTTTTAAATATAAAATAAGAGCAGGAAAAACTTACCAGTCTGGTATCATTGTTTCACAGTTGGTACACTCGGCACGATTACTACGAGAATCTTTGGGACTGTACTTCATGAAAATGGTCATTGCTAAGTCCTCATATGCTTCCCTTTTCTCTGGAGAAATCTGTAGATTTAAAAATAGGTTTTCAGTAAAGGAATTACTGGAATTAAAATTATTAGCTTTAGGTACACAAAAGCTCCCACCATATAACAAAATAAATAATGTCAGGACAAGTGGAAACTAACATTGGTTAAGAAAATGAATTCATTATAAAAAGAAGCAAACAGGCAGGAATTGAACCCATGGCAAGTGAGTCATAAAAGTCCAGACCAGTGGCTTATGCACTGGCCTGGACTTTTAGAACTCACTTGCCATGAGTACAATCTCTGCCCGATTCGTGGTTTGTTTGCATTCACATTACTTTGATCTTGTGAGTCATGAGTTCATCATACCTCTAAACATTGTGACACCTTCATGGGGGTGCCATGATGCTGCTAGAGATATCTTAGACCAAAGAACTGTAACTACCCTTCATTTCCTCTGAATAAACTTGATTACCTCCCATTCCCCAGGCACTTTGTGACCCTAATGGAATTAGCACTTTCCATGAGTATACAGGAATAACAACAATACAGAAAAACCTACTGTAACTGTTCCTGTTAACCATTTTTCCAATTTTTAGCCATTTCATGTTGAGTAGGAGATTGAGGGCTGAGAGTAAGGCTGGCTGGTCTGACAGGAAGCAAGGAATCTTAAGGAGGTAGGAGGGAAAAGCACATGGCAGGTGAGTGACTGGGAGGATCATGGGCCCAGTTGTGTCCAGGATGTTACTTGTACAGAAATATGCCAATGTTAATACTATACAGAACAGTCATAATTCACTTATAAGAACATGAGTCATTGAAACTAATACTCTGTAGTTTAACAAATGACTAAAAACCTATATGAGTAGAAATGGTTAAGTGTAAGAAGGACCTGTTTAACAGGTGCTCCTCCTGTATTATGTTTTGAATGCATACTTTAAATAGTACTATACTTTAAATAGTACTATATTGTTCATTTAGTTACCTCTCTTTTTGTACATTTAAAAACTCCTACTAACAACCTATATCTAATTCTTAAGTAGTCTTTGAGCATTAGGATTAGTCTGCCTGAAATGCTCCGGATGCTATTGGCTTTCTTTTGTGCCTAACAATATTTTATTACATGTAACCTACATGTAAAGATAAAGAGTTTTTATGAGGATAGTGAGAATCAGGTTAGGGTATATAGGAGAGAGAGAGATTACTTTCCAGTAAAAGTAGGCCTTAGACAGGGATGTGTAATGTCACTATGGTTGTTTAACATATTTATAGATGGGGTTGTAAAAGAAGTAAATGCTAGGGTGTTGGGAAAAGGGGTGGGATTAATTTTGCAGATTCAAATACAAAATGGGAGTTGACACAGTTACTTTTTGCTGATGATACTGTGCTTTTGGGAGATTCTGAAGAGAACTTGCAAAGGTTAGTGGATGAGTGTGGAAGGGTGTGGAAAGGAAAAAAGTTGAAAGTAAACATAAGAGTAAGGTGGTGAGGGTATCAAATGAGTTAGGTAAGGAAAAACTGGATATAAGATTGGAAGGAAGGAGTATAGATGAAGTGAATGTGTTCAGATATTTGGGAGTAGACTTGTTGGCAGATGGGTTTATGAAGGACGAGATAAACCATAGAATTGATGAGTATCTGTGGAGACAAAGAATGTTATCCATGGAGGAAAAGAAGGGAATGTATGAGGCTATAATGGTATCAACACTTTTATATAAGTATGAAGCATGGGTTGTGAATGTTGCAACAAGGAAGAGGCTGGAGGCAGCAGAGATGTTGTGTCTAAGGGCATGTGTGGTGTAAATATGGAGAAAATTTGTAGTGTGGAAATTAGGAGGAAGTGTACAGTTACTAAAAGTATTATTCAGAGGGTTGAGGAGGGATTATTGAGGTGGTTTGGTCATTTAGAGAGGAAGGAGCAAAATAGGATGATTTGGAGGGTGTATAAATCTGTAGTGGAGAGGAGGAGGGGTAGGGGGTCATCCTAGGAAAGGATGGAGGAAGGGGGTAAAAGAGGTTTTGTGTGCAAGGGGCTTGGACTTACAGCAGGCATGTTAGATAGGAATAAGTGAAGAAGAATGCTTTTTGGGACCTGATGAGCTGTTGTAGTATGAGCAGGGTTATATTTAGAAAAGGGATACAGGGAAATGGGTTAGCCGGACTTGAGTCCTGGAGGTACGAAGTACAAGGCCTGCACTTTAATAAAGGAGGGGTTTGGGATATTTGCTGTTTAGAGGGACATCCGAACTGCCATACCTGCACGCCTCTGCAAAGACAGCGATAGTGTGAATGATGGTGAAAGTGTTTCTATATTTTTGGGTCACCATGCCTCAGTGGGAGATGGCAAGTGTGTTAAAAAAAAAATGTAAAATGTAAACTACATTATCTGAATATTGAAGAAAATAAATAAATTATTTGTAATTGTAAAAAATATGGCTAGGTACGTCTTACTAACACAAAATCATTCCCACTTGTGTACTTATCTAACCTATTTTTAAAACTTAGCAGTTTGTTCCCCTCTCATATACAACTCTACTGCATTTATATATGAATTTTTAACACACTAGCTGTCTCCTACTGACATAGGGTGACCTATAAAACAAAGAATCATACTCACCATCCTTTGCTCATTAACTGTCTTGCCAGAAATGTGCAGATATCACAGTCAAATGACTTTCTAATCTGCAACATCCCTAACCCTCTTCTGAGTGTAGACACTGTACTTCTCACCTCCAGGACTCAAGTCTAGCTAACTGGTTTTCCTGAATCTCTTTATAAATATTACCTTGGTTGCACTCCATAGTACATCAAGCCATAAAAACCACTTATCCCCAGCCAGTGTAATCTAATATGCTCACACAACCTGTTAGATGCTCAAGCCCCTTGAAACATGGGTTTTAAACATTGGGGCAAGGAGAAGGCTGGAGGCAGTGGAAATGTATTGTCTGAGTGCAATGGATGGTGTAAATATTATACAGAGAATTCGTAGTTTGGAGATCAGAAGGCGCAAAGTTACTAAGAGAATTCTGCGGAGGACTGAGAATGGGCTGTTGAGATGGTTTGGGCACTTAACCCCTTGACTGTCAAAACCCCAAATCCTGAGGTGTCTCCTGGTGTGGAAAAATTTTGAAAAAAAAAAAAAAAAATAAAAATTCTTATGAAATGATAATCTTTTCCCGATGGTAATGACACCAAAAGAACAAAATTTGATGGAAGACTTATGGAGTTACACTCTCGCAAAGTTAGCGACCTCGGCAGTATTTACGAATTGGCGATTTCGCCCACTTTGAGCCCTATTTTTGGCTAATTCCATTGTTCCAGTCGACCAAGCTCATAGCTATTTCTTTAGAACTCCATTTGTTCTATCGACTGAGTACAAGAAACTGCCCATTTACCCATTTCAACTACCCAATAACGTGGTCAGAAATTTGCAATTTGGCCAATTTCACGCAAATTAAAAAATATGCCAATTTCAAAACAGGGTCCAGAATGAACAATGCAGACATTCCTGGCTCTAAAATAATATTTTCTCTGTTCATCAGTCACATCTCCAGGCCCCTCTGATATTACTCTTGCTTTCTATTTTGAATTTTTATTCAAACAAAAAATAGAAGATTTATTGTTATGCAGACTACTGCAATATTGTAATAATTGTATAAATAATGTCAACCCATTCATGACTGCATATTAGAATGGCTAGTTGGACATTTATTGGACAATGACATCATTTGTTTACTTTTGAACATCAGCAAAAATCAAACATTTTCCCTACTTTGAGCGAGCTCCATTTCAAGGTTCTTTTCATAGTAACACCAATCAAAATCACCTCTATTTCTATAATATGTTTTCCATTCTATCAAATGAGACCAAGAAAACGAGAATACAACCATAAATACTATACAAAAATACACCACCAAGTCAGCGTTTTAGTCCAAAAAAACGGTCGGAGTTTTTTTTTCTCATTATGCACTGCGTGCTGTAGGATTTTTTTTTATATGGTGCACACTGACCACACAGTCCCATTCTCTCACGTGGGCCTACCAGCTTTCTCCTGGTTGATTTGAAGCCGCTAGAATTTATGAGCATATATACATCAAACACGGTGGCTCATAAAATATATATATATATATAACCAAAACAGTCAAAGGGTTAAGAGAGGATGGAGCAAAATAGGATGACTTGGAAGGTGTATAAACCTGTAGTGGAGGAAAGAAGTGGTAAATGAGATACTGTACAAGAAGCGGCTAAAATGCCAGGAGTAAGGGGCTACTAACCCCTTCTCCTGTATACATTACTAAAGTTAAAAAGAAACTATTTTCTTTTTGGGCCACCCTGCCTCAGTGGGATATGGCCAGTTTGTTGAAAGAAAGAAGAAGAAAAGATTTATTCATTCTCTCCTCCTAATAAACGTCTGCTGAGTCCTGGTCGCTACCATTTCTTGTCACTTGTAAAAACTGCAGACTACTGCAGAAAAATTTTCTTAGATATTTAGACAAGGAAATCCCCTTCAGTATACATTAGAAGTACCGTACCTCAGTGAGAGCCTCCAGTTTTATAAATGCTCGAGAACATGTTGCAAAGGCCCTGTTGGCACAGGAGGCCAAAGCAAGAAGGGCATAAATATCTTCTGCATCAAGAAGTCCTTCATATTCCCGTAAATGTAGGCAAGTCTTCATGGCAGCATCAACATAGCCTAAAATTATATAAAAAATATATTTTACATATTGGATGTAAATAAATAAATTTTCATGATAAATCAATAAATGACCACTATAAAAATCCAAAAAATTATTTTATAATTAGATAATGATTTCAAGATCAGTTACAGAGTAATAAATGAACTCTATCTAAATATTTCTACCTACTGTACACTCAGTTCTCAGTCTTCACAGAAGTGCATTCCTGAAAAATTACATTGATTGAATTCACAATGCCTAAATTTATTGCATGACAATAACATATGGGGCTTATTTTTCAACTACAAAATATGTACAGGTGCTCCTCGACTTACGTTGGTTCAACTTACAATATTTCGACTTTCCAATGATGTCATAACATATATATTATAGGTCTCTGGTGGCTAACGCTCTCGCTTCACACGGCGAGAGCCCGGGTTCGATTCCCAGCTAGAGTAGAAATATTGGGCGTGTTTCTTTCCACCTGTTGTCTATGTTCCCCATCAGTAAAAATGGGTACCTGGGTGTTAGTCGACTGGTGTGGGTCGCATCCTGGGACACTGACCTAATTTGCCCGAAATGCTGAGCATAACAAGGGGCTTTCTATATAGTATTATGTCACTAATGTCAGCTAGGCCTGTATACCATGTACTTGTAGTAAATAAAGATATTATTATTACTATTATTATTATTATTATTATTATTATTATTATATTCATTTATTTACTTTTCAAGATTGGTATTTAGTTATAGTAATTATTTGTTTAAATACTTATTCAGTGACAGTAGTTATTTATTTACTTAGCATATTACAGTGGTACCTCGACTAATGAGTGCCCCAAATGACGAGTTTTCCGAGTTACGAGCCATTGCTCAGTCAATTTTTTGCTTTGAGTTGCAAGGCAGAATCCGAGTTACGAGCGAGCTTCAGATACGCCACCATTAACCCTTTGAGGGTTGCCAGGCCCTCTCAGAGACTTGTTCTCAGGGTCGCCAAAGTTTAAAAAAAAAAAAAATTATTTTTTCTTATGAAAAGATAGAGAATCTTTTCCCTATCATAATGATACCAAAAGTATGAAATTTGATGGAAAACTTACGAAATTATGCTCTCACGAAGTTAGCGGTCTCAACGATGTTTCCGCATCGGCGATTTTGTCCACTTTGAGCCCTATTTTCAGCCAATTTCAGTGTACTAGTCAACAAAAATCATAACTATTTTGCTAGAAGTCCGTTTTTTCTATTGAATGAGTACAAGAAACCACCCATTTACCAATTCCAACTATCCAATAAAGTGGTCAAAATTTATCAATTTTGTCAATTTCACACAAATTTCAAAAGATGCCAATTTCCAAATAGGGTCCAGAATAAACAAGAAAGACATTCCTGGCACTAAAATAACATTTCCTCTGTTCATTAGTCACGTCCCCAGGCCTTCTTACATTTCTTTTGCTTTCCACTTTGAATTTTTATTCTCACAAAAAATAGAAGATTTACTGTTATGCAGACTACTGTATTAGTGTAGAAATAATATAAATAATACCAGCGCACTTGTGAAAGAATATTAGATTCACCAGTTGACGTGCATTGGACACATGACATGATTTGTTTACTTTTGAACTTTGGCAAAAATCGAACATTTCTGCTACTTTGAGCTCAATTTCAGGGTACTTTTCATTGTGAAACCAATCAAAATCATCTCAATTTCTGTAATATGTCTTCCATTCTATAAAATAAGACCAGGAAAACTAGAATACAACCATAAATACCATACAAAAATACAGTGCAAAGTCGCTGTTTTAAACCAAAAACACGGTCGAAGTCTTTTTTTTTTCTCATTACGCACTGTGTGCTGCAGGATTTTTTTTATACTGCGCACGCTGACTACACAGACCCATTCTTTCATATGTAGGCCTACCAGCTTTCTCTTGCTAGATTTGAGGGCGCTAGAATTTATGCGTACTAGTACGTCAAAAACCCTGGCGCGTAAGCCGTACTAGTATGGCCAAAGCCCCAAAAGGGTTAATTGGCAGCGTATCTGAAGTCAAATCCTACTCTGTACCCAGAGGAATGTCAGGTACTTTGTCCCATCCCACATGCTCTTCCAGGACTTAACTGGAAGGATAATACTCCCACTAATCCCAGATTGTAGCGAGGCACCTCGTCCACTGTTTGGTTCTCGTATAAATCTGGGGAAGCGGTAACCTCCATTTCAACACTCAGAGTTTCCCCAGAAACATTAAGGAAGGCCTCTATGATATTTACCTGCCTCATGGAGCTTTCTTCAGTAGGTGGAGTACTGATAGTGGTGGGTGGAGTAGTGATGGTGGTGGGTGGAGTAGTGATAGTGGTGGGTAGAGTAGTGATAGTTTTGGGTGGAGTAGTTATGGTGGTGGATGGAGTAGTGATGGTGGTGGATGGGGTAGTGATAATGGTGGGTGGAGTAGTGAGGGTGGTGGGTGTGTAGTAGAATGGTGACAGGTAAAGTAGTGAAGGTGGTGGGTGGAGTAGAGATGGTGGTGGATGGAGTAGTGGGGTGGTGGATAGAGCAGTGATAATGGTGGGTGGAGTAGATATGGTGGTGGGTGGAGTAGTGAGGGTGGTGGGTGGAGTAGAGATGGTGATGGGTGGAGTAGTGAGGGTGGTGGGCATAGTAGAGATGGTGGTGGGTGGAGTAGTGAGGGTGGTGGGTGGAGTAGAGATGGTGATGGGTGGAGTAGTGAGGGTGGTGGGCATAGTAGAGATGGTGGTGGGTGGAGTAGTGAAGGTGGTTCTTACTTAAAAACCCGCAACAAAAAAATTGGAATGGTTTTTTTGGAGGCTGGAATGGATTAATGGCATTTCAATTAATTTTAGTGAAGAAAATTTATTTGATACATGAGCAAATTAAGTTACGAGCTCAATCACAGAACGAATTAAACTCGAAAGTCAAGATACCACTGTATATTCATGGTCGACTTACGATATTTTCGACTTACAATCCTTTATCTATTAAACCATTATTACAAACCTAAAAATATATGTTTGCATCATAAATTGTACTACCCCATATTAATAATAGAGTAAAATATTTAATATTTGAAATTTACCAATCTTTACCTGTCTAGACTTAAGCAGTTTTTAAGTATTGGGTTAAGTCTGCCCAAAGTGCCCCAGCATGATAGTGGCTTTCTTTGTACCAATCAAACTATGAATTGTAAACACACATTGTAACATTTGCAAAGAAATAAACTTTTGTTTTGTTTGTTTGTTGAAACACAACCCCCATTGCAAGTCAAGGAGCACTTGTAAGTGCAAAATTTGATCAGGCCCTGATCCACCATGAGGCCTGGTCACAGACAGGGCTGCAGAGGCATTGACCCCCAAAACCCTCTCCAGGTATACTCCAGGTATACTTATGAATAACTTGTGTTCCAACTTATGAATGACTTGTGTTCCTGGTGTTCCAGCTTATGACTGACTTGTATACCTGGTGTTCCAATTTACGAAAGCACTGTTTGTGACTCGGAACCTACTTTTCTATTGAAAAATAATAAAAAAGGATGGCAATGTTAATAAGAATTGTAACTGAGTTGTTTGTAAAAACTATTTTTTTTTTTTTTACAAAAAAAAAAAAACAAATTTAGAAGTATCTTATGACAACAATGGTCCAAAACAGATCAGAACATTACCATAGTTTTCCCTCATAGGTACGGGTTATTTGCGAATTGTTCCAGCCAGAGTAATCTGACTTTCAATCACTTTTTAATATTTATTCCTCAAGGACTTCTTTGTGAGGATGTATGTTCCTAAGGATGGAGCATTACATACAATGAATTCTAAATTAACATTATACAAATAATCTGCACATAGGAGAAAGAAGCAACATTTTGGTTCAACACTAATTAATGGTCCAAGTCAGACTGAAACAAAACCCTGAGAAGCAAGCAGACATAACAGGGAATGCACCACAACGCAAGGAAGGAGGACAAAGAGTGACTGTCCGAAAAGAAATGTCAGAATGGACAAGTGTAGCAAGTGGTGTTCCACAAGGATCAGTATTGTTAGGTAAGACACATATGCAACAGTTAGACAACTTTATTCCGAAATGTTTCGCCTACACAGTAGGCTTCTTCAGTCGAATACAGAAAGTAGGCAGGAACAGTAGAGATGTGAAGACGATGTAATCAGTCCATCACCCTTGAAGTCGTAGAATTTGAGGTTGTCAGTCCCTCAGCCTGGAGAAGTTCAGTTCCATAGTCAGGAACTATCTGAAGATCAAGCGACAGTGCGGAGACTTAAATACTGTCAAAAGGAGAGGTGCAGAGTAGTAGTAGTAGTGAGAATGTAGCCACTGAGAGGTCATGTCCTTCTCAGATCCAACATTTCTCACTTGAAAAACTTGTCCAAGGTGTTTTCTGTACCAAGATGCCATGTGTTGCAGTATTTAAGTCTCCGCACTGTCGCTTGATCTTCAGATAGTTCCTGACTATGGAACTGAACTTCTCCAGGCTGAGGGACTGACAACCTCAAATTCTACGACTTCAAGGGTGATGGACTGATTACATCGTCTTCACATCTCTAGTGTTCCTGCCTACTTTCTGTCTTCGACTGAAGAAGCCTACTGTGTAGGCGAAACGTTTCGGAATAAAGTTGTCTAACTGTTGCATATGTGTCTTACCTAACAACCTGTTGGTATTGTATACCATTTTGATGTTCAAGGATCAGTATTGTTTCTTTCTCATATGTGCGGGTTATTTGTGCATTGTTCCCATCGGTATTATGCATTTTGATTTACTGAATTAACCTTCATATAGCTGCCGTTGTGCTAGCAACAGGAAATGATAAGCTTCTGCTCCTTTCCATGGGTTATCGAGCATGCTGGTCTGTGTACTACCTCCCTGTAGTTCAGTAGGAAGTGCCGGTCCATCATCATAGAGACCCATCAAAGCTGCACTTCGACTCCCACTGGCTGAAACATGTGCATAGCTAAAATATCTGTAAGAGAATGACTGTATACAAATATTCACATCACACACTTTTTAATTAAGTAGGTACTATTTTAATCACCTAATTCATGGTAAATAATATATAGTAGTATTTTAATCACCTAATTCATGGTAAATAATATACAGTAGTATTTTAATCACAGAATTCATGGTAAATAATATACAATCTCCCTCAGTGAGACAAAATTACTGTCCTTTCAAGTTCAATATAATAATGATTATTACAGTGGACCCCCGGTATTCGATGGCATCGGTATTCGATAAATCCGGTATTCGATACATTTTATTGCAAAAAAATTTCCTCGGTATTCGATACGATTCGTACGAGACGTGTCCACATGTGGCCTGAACTGCCCCTTGTGTGCCAGTGTTTACAAGCCAGCCAGTGTGCATGCATCTAAGGATACATTCGGTACATTCCATATTATCCATATTATCACTGTGTTTGGTGCTTGTTTCTGCAAAATAAGTCACCATGGACCCCAAGAAAGCTTCTAGTGCCAACCCTTCAAGAAAAAAGTCGCTAATGACTTATGAATGAAGAAAGAGATAATTGCAAGTACGAAAGTGGAGTGCGTGTGTCGAAGCTGGTTAGGTTGTATAATAAACCCCAATAAAACCATCTCTACTATAGTGACCAGGAAAACGGCAATCAAGGAAGCTGTTCTTGCAAAAGGTCCCAACTGTGATTACGAAACAGCGACCGCAAGTGTTAGAAAATGCTGAGAGATTGTTATTGGTGTGGATAAATGAAAAACAGATAGCAGGAGATAGAAACTCTAAAGCGATCATTTGTGAAAAGGCTAGGCAGTTGCATGACGATTTGGTAAAGAAATTGCCTGCAAATAGTGGTGTGGAGTGAATTTAAGGCCAGCAAAGGTTGGTTTGAAAGTTTTAAAAAAATCGTAGTGGCATACATGGTGTGATTAGGCATGGTGAGGCTGCCATTTCAGGCCAAAAGACACTGAAAAATATGTGAAGGAATTCAAGGATTAAAATAGACAGTGAAACTTGAAACCTGAACAAGTGTTTAATTTGCGACGAAACAGGCCTGTTTTGGAAGAAAATGCCAAGCAGGACCTACATTACTCAGGAGGAAAAGGCACTCCCCAGGACATAAGCCTATGGAAGACAGGCTTACTCTGTTGATGTGTGCCAATGCTAGTGGTGATTGCAAAGTGAAGCCTTTTTGGTGTATTACTCTTTAAACTCCCAGAGTGTTCAGGAAAAACAATGTCCCTCAAAGGGTAAATTTTTGTGTGCTGTGGAGGACAACAGTAAGGCATGGGTCACTAGGGGCTTTTTCTATGACTGGTTACACCATGCATTTGCCCCCACTGTGAAAAATTACCTACCTGAAAAGAAATTAGACCTTAAGTGCCTCCTGGTATTAGACAATGCCCCTGGGCCCTCCTACAGACTTCTCAGAGCCGACTTTGTGGGGCATGGCTTCATTAAGGTCAAGTTTTGCCCCCCTAATACCACTCCTCTCCCGCAGCCCATGACCAGCAGGTTATTCCAACTTCAGAAACTGTACACAAAAGCTTGTTTCAAAAGTCTTTATGGACCACAGAAACCAACGACTCTAAAGAGTTTTGGAAGGATCACTTTAATAACCTCAATTGTATAACTTATAGGTTAAGGCTTGGGAGGAAGTTTACCAAGAGGACCTTGAACTCTGGTTGGAAAAACTGTGCCCAGATGTGTAGAACAAAAGGGTTGGAAGGATTGAGGCTAACCCTGAGAATCCCATGCCAGTAAGGAATCCATTGTGGCATTGGGGAAGTCCTTGGGGTTTTGGAGGTTGTGGGGAGAGGATGTGGAAGAGTTGGTGGAGGGGGGACAGTGAAAAACTAACCACTGATGAGCTGATAGATCATCTTGAACAGCAAAGGGGCAGGGCCTGAGGAAAATGCTTCGGAGGAGGGGATTGAGAAAATTTAAGAAGTTGCCTTCTTCAAAGATTAAGGAAATGTGTGCAATGTGGCTTAAAGTGCAAACCTTTTTTGATGAAAATCCCCCTCACACAGCTATTGCAAGCCGTGGTGGTGACTAGTACACTAACAATGTTGTGAAACACTTTAGGGATGTCATAAAGGAACGGGAGGTACAGGCCACTATGGACAGATATGTTGTGTGACAGAAATCCAGTGAGTCTGAAGCTGGTCCTAGTGGCATTAAAAGAAGAAGGGAAGTAACCCCAGAAAAGGACTTGCTACCTCAAGTCCTAATGGAAGGGGATTCCCCTTCTAAACACTAACACCTCTCCCCTCCTCCCATCCCATCAATCTTCACCAGATCTTCATTAAAGGTAAGTGTCAATTATTTTATTATTATTCTATTGCATTAAACCTAATATTCCATGTAGTAAAATTTTTTTTTTCATACTTTTGGGTCTCTTGCACGGATTAATTTGATTTCCATTATTTCTTATGAGGAAAATTGATTCGGTTTTCGATATTATCGGTATTCGATGAGCTTTCAGGAACGGATTAATATCGAATACCGGGGGTCCACTGTACTTACATGTTATTGTCATTATTATTATTATTATTTTTTTTTTTATTATCACACTGGCCGATTCCCACCAAGGCAGGGTGGCCCAAAAAAAAAAACTTTCACCATCATTCACTCCATCATTGTCTTGCCAGAAGGGTGCTTTACACTACAGTTTTTAAACTGCAACATTAACACCCCTCCTTCAGAGTGCAGGCACTGTACTTCCCATCTCCAGGACTCAAGTCCGGCCTGCCGGACAGCGAGGTAGGGTGACCCAAAAAAGAAGAAACACTTTCACCATCACTCACTCCATGATTGTCTTGCCAAAGACATACTGAGCTACCCTTCTTTCCTTGAATGAAACCTGATTACACTTTCCATTCCTCAGCTCTATGTGACCTCTATGGGTTTAGCACTCACCCATGAATATATATACAGTAATCCAGACATCTACGGGTAGGTTTATTAGTATAGTTTCTGCCACTGTAAGCCTTACATTAAATGATAATAATAACAATAATAATAATAATTTTTTTTTTAACATACAGCCAGTCTCCCATCGAGGCAGGATGACCCTAAAATAGACGATTAAAGTTCTTCTTTTAACATTTAGTAATGTATACAGGAGAAGGGGTTACTAGCCTCTTACTCCTGGCATTTTAGTCGCCTCTTACGACACATATGACTTCCAGAGGAAGAATTCTTTTCCACTTTCCCATGGAGGAGTTATAGTAATAACAACAGCAACAACAGATACCACCTGACTGTCATGATTTAAAAGATCCTTTTAGTACTATGGTTATTTTGCTTTCATTTGTTTTTTTTTCCTGATTGCAGCAAGAGTTTGCTTGGTAATAAGTTAACACTACAAATTATTTTTTACTGGGCAATAAGAGAATATCACAAGAGTTTGTAACAAGGTAAATACACTGTAAACCTTTGCATCAAGCTTACTGTCTTTCAGAGTTGTTTTCATCCTGGAGTTGTGTTCCTGGACCAGCTGAGCAGCTAACAGATACAGCTTCTTTACCCTTAAGGGACGTGCTTTCTTTTTTCCTTCTTCCTCAGCAATCTGAATTGAAATACCTGATTTTAACGGAAAAATAGAGGAATATTTTTTTTTAACATACTGGCCATTTCCCATTGTGACAGGAGTGACCCAAAAATGAAGAAAAATTTTCATCATCACTCACTCCACTGTCTTGCCAGAGGCACATGGGTGCTACAGTTTAAAACCTGCAACAAACCCAGTCATACTCGCCAACACTGTCAATGCTGAATTGCAGAAAATATCTACCTGGATGATGACTAATTAACTTACCCTAAATACTGACAAAACCTATTTCATTCAGTTTGGAACCAGAGCTGCAAATGTTCCACTTAACATAACGCTAAACGGATGACCCATCACAAGACTCACAGAGGGAAAATTCCGAGGAACCCACCTTGACAGTAGCCTCAAATTCCAGACAAATATACAGCAAATTTCCAAGAAAATCTCTAAGACAGTAGGCATACTATCAAAGATACAGTACTACGTTCCACAATCAGCTCTCCTTGCACTGTATCATTTACTCATCTACCCTTATCTCGCACACGGAATTTGTGCATGGGGATCAACAACATCAAATCACCTAAAACCACTAATAACCCAGCAAAAGGCTACAGTCAGAATGATAGCAAATTTCCACTCCCGACAGCATACTCCACCAATATTCAAAAGTCTAAATCTGCTCACCATAAAGAACATCCATACTTATTCATGTGCCTACTGCATACATAGGACAATACATGCAAACATAAACCCTCCACTCAAACTTCTCCTCACCAACCTTAACAGGACACACGACCATCACACAAAACACAGATCTCTTTTTGATGTACCCCGTGTTCATATCACACTGTGTAAAAACTCTATGCACATAAAGGGCCCCGAAATTTGGAATTCATTACCAGAAAATACTAAAGTAACCCGGTCTGAAAATTAATTTAAGACTCTTCTCAAAAGACACTTATTCGCCCTAGACTAAATACTCAATACTCATATTGTATTTAACTTTACCAAAAAATCTCCCAATTACCTGAATCTTAAAACTTAAAGACTAGATGCCAAAGTTCATACATTGACTAATGCTACATAGTAGTATAAATACCTACCCAAAACAGTACTGCCCTACACCAAACTATAGCATTCTCATACTGCAGACTACTTTTAGCAAATCACAATGTTATATTCCCATAATATAATTTCAATATTTACTATTAAAACTATTGTCCATTGTCAACAGGAATATAATTGAATCATGTTTCATAAATAGCAGTTTTGAAAACAATATGAATATTTCCTTTTGTTTATATAAATTAGATTCATTTATAATTAATAGAACTATTGTACAACTTAAACTATGATAATTTTCTTTAGTATTAAGTAGTCAGTAAGCCATTAACCCTTTCAAGGTAAGGCAAGAAATTTTGAAAAAAAAAAAAAATATGTTTTTTTCTTACAAAATTAAAGATTATATTTTTGTGAAGGTAATAAAACAAAAAAAATTCTGATCAGTATTTACCGAGATACAGAGGCAAGAAGTTGACCCAAAATGACGGGTGGCGGTAACATCAGCAATTTCCACAAAATCGCATTTCTTTATTTTACGTTTTCTATACCTTTTTTTATTCTTTTCTAATTTTTTCTTTTTTTTCTAGCAACATTTGTGGCCTGTGAGACCAATACTGTATATAATGTATATATATACACTCAATGTATTGAACACAATAACTGCACTAAAGTTATTATTATAATAGTGTTTACCACTATTGTTTACTAAAATAAACATGTACAAATCTTGTATAATGTACTAATGTTCTATTATATACAGTAAGGCCCCGCTTTATGGTGTTTCGCCTTATGGCATTCCACTAATACAGCGATGTCAAATTATGACCAAAATTTGCTATACGGCAAGCGGTCTTTTAAATACGGCGCCCCCCACCCGGTTTGTTTACATTTTCGGTGACCACATCTATAATGTCAGGAAACTTTCCAAAATTTCATGTGTTTTAAAGTTACTGCATATTTTATATGTACATGTACTCTGATAATTATACTTATGTGTACCTGTACCTAAATATACTTACACACTGTGCTGGTGTGCAGGTACACATTAAAATTGCTAAGTCTCTCTCTACTCATGACGCCAATACTACGTAATAATAATCACTCTTGGGCACACTAAATGTCTTATTTTACATCAATATAGGCATTTTCATTAATCCATCTATGATATTTTCCTCAAAATTATATATGAAACCCACTACATAGCATATAAACATGATATATACACTCAGAATAAAAATTGATGTAAATACGAGATTTGTTTACAAAGCAGCTGTGTAGGTGGTGTCGGAAGAATTACGTTTTCTCTAGTCAAACACTGGGGGGTAACTAGAAAAATATTCTTTTCGTATGCCTTTACTCTATGTATAGCAATTCACGACCCTTGTGGGTTTAGTGCTTTTTATAATAAATAATAATAATAATAATAATAATAATAATAATAATAATAATAATAATAATAATAATAATAATAATAATAATAATAATAATAATAATAATAATTAATAAAAATTTAAAAATAATTTTTTATTACAGGGGCCCCCCTTTTACCTTTCCCTTTAACAAAACCGTTTTTTTCCCCGGCCATACCGCTCACTTTAATCGCAAAAATTTTGCCTCGCATACCGCTCAAAAACCCGTCACCGTGTTCTTTCTGAAAAAGCGCCCAAATTGTGCCCCTTTAGCCCCTCCATTTTTCCGCCGGGGCATTGTTTCCCAGCCACCTCCGGGTAGCACCCCGGGAAATAAAATCGAACTTTTTCCGTATTTTTACAGGGGTTTTTGGTGATTTTTCTGGAAAAAAAGGGGCCCAGGGGCCCCAAGAAAAGCTTCTGGGCCCAAACCCACAGCAAAAAGGGGTGAAATTATGTTAGAGATGAAAAAAAAGATCATTGATAATATGAAGTGAGGCTGTCTCCGAGCGGGCCCAGGTTGTATAATGCCCCCCCAATCAACCATCGCTCCCTTTTGGGGTGGTCAGCTGCTGTTTGCGCTGCACTGTCAGTGTGCGGGGTTTTTTGTACATCGCCTCCCTGCGCTGTAGCTTGTCTGCTGCTCCCTTTTAGCATCTTTCTGCTGCTGCGGGTGCATCGTCTGCTCTGCGAGAAACGTCGCTGCTGCTCCCGCGTAGCATCTTTTCCTGTGCTGTGGGTAGCTCGCTGCGCTGTGTAAAATCGTCTCTGAGCTGTCCCACTGTCACCCTGCTGCTGCTGCTGTAGAAAACGCCCCCCCTGTGCTGAAAGCATGTTGCTGCTGTTTGTACATCGCCTGCTGCGCTTTTAGCATCGTCTGCCCCTTCTTTTACCCACGGGTCAGCGGGGCTGCTGCTGGTAGAATAAATTGTCCTGCTGTAGACCCTTTTGCTGCGCGGTAGCATGCCTGCTGTGCGGGTAGAAATTTTCTGCTGTGCTTTTGCACTGTAGTGTTTGCTGCTGCGGGTAGCACGTCTGCTGCTGTTTGTACCCATTTTGCTGCTGCGTGCATGGGTTTTGGCTCTGCTGTAGCACTGTCAGCTGCGCTGCTGCTGTCCCATGTCTGCTGCTGCTGTAGAAATGTTGTTGGTGGGGGCTTATTGGAATATACCAAAAAAAATTTTCCCCCCAAAAGGGATTTTCCACCCAGGAAAAACCAAAAAAAAAGTAAAGTGTAAATGGGACTGTTTTAAACTTTTTTCCCTTTGGGGGCCCTTTAAAATTTGTCTCCCAGGATGAAAACCCACACCATTCGACTAAAACCCCGGGTTAAACGGGGAAAAAAAAACCCTGGAACTAGTGTCTATTGGTAAATTTTAAAGCCAAAAAAGGGTTTGGGTTTTTGGGGAGATTTAAGAATGTAGTGACTTTCACGGGTTTTTGAAAAGGGCATTTTCTGGAAAAAAATACCAAACAGGACCTACAGAAATCGGGGGGAAAAGGCCCTCCCGGACACAGTGTTCATTTTCATTCCCTTGCATTTCAAAAAAGGTAAAGGGGCCCAATTTATTCTTTTTTAAAGTAGATTAGTACTTGCACAATATTTACGGGCATGTACTACTCTACTATTGTGCATGAAATTCCTTCTCTTTGGGGTGTAGGAAAATGTATTTTTCATTTTGGAAAAATTTTTTTTTTTCATACTTTTGGGTGTCTTGCAGGATAAATTTGTTTTCCCATTATTTTTTTGGAAAAAATTTCCCTTTCCCGCATACCGTTTATTTCGCATCCCAATGAGCCCTCTTGACGGTTTTTAAAATGGGGTATGGGGGGGCCCACTGTTTTATTATTTTTAAATTATTATTATTATTATTATTTTAATTATTATTAAAAATAAAAATAATAATAATATTATTATTTTTAATTATTATTATCTTCATTCACTCTAAAAATGGTGGTGTTGTGTTTTTTTATTCTAAAACAAAACTTTTAAAATTTTGTACAAAATGAAACATTTTTGGGGTTTTGGAGGTAATTAAAAATTAAAAAAAAAAATATTGAGGTAAATGTTTTAAAAAATCCCCTTACAAAATGGGTGAAGGGAACTAAAAGTAGACACTATTAATACGCATTTATTTCGCCTGACCAAGTATCGCCCAAACTACCTGTTCAGTTTGGTTTTACATTGTCTCAACCCCTTTATCTCGTTTCTCTCCTTTTTCCCCTTTTCTTCGTTAACTATTTTGGTCCCCATTGAGATGGGTCAAAGGTTAGTTTGTAATAAAAAGAAAAGTGTAAGCCTTGCTTTAATTTGCCAATTAAAGAGGGATGATGGTGTCCCATTCGGGTTTTTATTCAATAAAAAACCCTGCCCCCTTCACCCTAAAAACATTAATATTAATTTTTTAAAGGTAAGTAATAAGTGTACTCTGTGGGTATCTTAAACCTTTTTTTTGTTTTTTTAATGCCTATTTTATTGCAAAATTAAATTTAAAATTTTTGGGGAAAAAACTTGTTGCCCTTGCATGTTTTTGCATATTTTATATG